AAAAAATACTTTTTGAAAGCACCATCTGTGTTTGAAATAACTACTCTAAGGAAAGCTTGTCAAAATAACAATAACTAAATTGTTAAAGAAAGAAAGAAAGAAAGAAAGAAAGAAAGAAAATAACAAGAATAACAGAAGCGCCGGTAAGTATAGTAAGCTCCAGAGCAAATAACATACAGATCATGTAGTCGTTGAGACTTAAATACATCACGGGGCAGCGACTCCAGTTTGTTGAAATCCAGGGTTCTGTGGAGAGACATGCTAATTTTTTTTTTTTCGGCAAAATATATTCTTTCGTGGCACATGTAACTTTCCACCTATTGTTCCACTCAGAAGAATAGTAAATATGGATTGAGGTTGTGCAGTATTTCAGTTCTGAAGTTGACATTGCAGTAAAAGTGATCATGATGTTGCAGCCTAGCCGTCTACATAACGGCGGAAATAGTTGTGACGTAATATCAGGTCTTTTCGGCCACTAAAAAGATTTAATATTTCGCCAGCCGTATCTCCCTTATCAGGCCACCTAATATGGTACAGCTGACATGATTGGTTACAGGTTCGGAAATGGAAAAATGTGGAAGATGTGGAGAGACCTAGCTAGGCCGAAACAGCTATTTATGGCTGTTTATTTGTATAAAAAAAAGATCTGGGCGTACTACAATTGTCGCCCCCAAGTTCGCATTCTGTGGCTTCAACAGTCCAACTCACATATCATCTCATCATTTTGCCATCACAGGCGAGGTCATACACTACAATTGTACCTTAGACTTCATTGGTTTTAATGACCGCGTGGGTGTTGTAACATCTCATTAATTGAATAGTGTTTGTTGGATGGAAGGAGGTCCATGTTTATAACGGAATAGTTTTCAGAAAACGACGGTAGATACCCTAGATAATCAGATACTACGGTGCTCTTAGGATATAAACATCGTGTACTGACAATTTACACAAACATTGCTATCCTAGGTCTATCCTATCTTATAACTCCACTATGTATGATATAAAACCCCTTCACTTACAAATTCCTTAGTTGACTGAAGTACTTATGTTTTTCTTTAGGTAAAAACTCAGATGTCAAGTACTTTAGGTTGTTGTTGTTCAGGAATCTGCATCGTAAAATGGAGAAATCTTGGATTTGTATTTGATATTGTATTTTCGTACGGGGAGGGGGAAACTTTTAACTTGCCATCGATATTAGCAGGGAAATATTGTTTCTCAATAACCCACGCAATTCAAAGCCAGAACATGCTCCTTTTTTCCCTAAAACGTGGACTTTACTCATTGGCACTCTGTTACTCTCATCATTTGTTCGTTTTTAATATCCCTTTTATTGTTCCTTGCTCCTCAAATATTCCGGGTGCTTCAATTATCTTGATGAACGTTCCCTGACGCGTGAAAAAATTGTAAAATGTATAAGACTTGGCTTTTGATAGCCTCTGACAACACAGGATTCCCAAAATATGCTTGTGAGGTTCATTTCGGATTGGAGTATCATTTTCTATTTTTGCTTTTGTGATAATATTGAGCCCTAATAAGGACAGAATATGTACGTTTTGGAGGATGTGACTTCGCTTAAACTAAGAGTTACCTGCTCGAACCAAATGTACGAGGAGTGATATTTTGAAATGAGAGGAATACTGTTGGTCGATAGGATTAAGTCCCCTCAAATGAACATAATATATTATTTAAAGTGATCATGGATGATCAGGGGAGCAGGGTTGGCGTAATAGTGAGAGCGCTCGCCTTCCATCAATGTGTCCCGGGTTCGATTCCAGGACCCGGCGTCATAAGTGGATTGAGTTTGTTGGTTCTCTACTCTGCTCCGAGACGTTTTTCTCCGGGTACTCCGGTTTTCCCCCCTCCTCAAAAACCATCATCATTTGAATCTATTTAATTTAGAGTTTATTTGCATTGATACACGACCCCACAAGCTGTTCAGCTTTAAACATTATCGTGCCTAAATAAAAGTGTTATTATGATTATTATTATCAGAATATATCGATCCTCTCTTTTAATATGAGGTTCAAATATATCAATTGAAGAGGTTTTACTCACAATTCTTTTAGGAACCTCATTGTACTAAACCCATCAGGAGGCAGCCGTTCCAAATGGTTATAGGACAAGTCGCTATCGAAAAAAGACAAAACAAACAAAAAAAAGAAAGGAAATAATAAGAAAATGGCCAGTCGTCGTTTTTAAAAAACTTTGCCTTGTCAAAATTATACTTTTGATCGTTTGTGTCGTTGACTGTTTTTCAAGGAAAAACCCGTAAGGCTTGTCAGTTCGAGTGACAGTCAGTGTGTGTAAATTTTGAATCAGCCGCCCCATGCAGTTTGGAATATGAAAGAAAAATCCGTAGAATAAATACAACAAATTACTGGCGATCCTTGCAATCTGATTGGCTCTTGTTGGTGCAAATTTATTCCTGAATCGCACCATTTCTTATCTAAACCGCATCTTTTACCAAGCCAGGGAAAAAGCTTTACTAAAATACTCGAATCAGATTTCAAGGCTTGTTTAAAGAAACCAATCAATTGCAGGAGAATAAAAAACACCTTTTACAACTTTTACAGACCAGCTCACGACACAAACGATCAAAAGTATAATTTTGACAAGGCAAAGTTTTTTAAAAACGACGACTGGCCATTNTCAACACATGAATTTTTGTAAGTTTCAATATAACTTTTCGTGATACAAGTTAAGTCGGGCGACACAAAATAATGTGAACAATGTTTTACATTACTTTTCCCCGAGAGTTGCTTTGATTTCGCAAGCTTTTCGCACGAGTAGGTTTTCCGAACGGACCCCGAAAATGTGAGGTTGTTTGTCACAAACGAGCGTGATTATGATCGAATTCAAAATTGAATATTTCGAATTGTGCTCATTAACAATGGGAAAACATCATCAATAAATGAAGCACTGCAACAGACAACATTTCTTGAGCGGCGTTATTGGGTCACTTTACCTACATTGGTGAGAAACTCTTCTTAAAAGCATGCACAGCCCTTTCACGCTGTCGCTCACACTCCTTTGTCGATAGTGGAGAGTGAGAAGTAACTGCACTGCTTCTGTGAGTCAAGGGGGATCGGCTTTTTTAACTCGGAATTCTGCTTTACATTCGGCTAAATTTATCTCATCGAGATTAAAAGGATCCTATTTCTGGTAAATCAATTCTGGACTTTTAGATTGATAGGCGTTATAAAGAAGGACAAACTTTTTATCCGAAACGACTTTGTTTAGATAAGAGATAGATAAGATAATTTATTTAATGTCAAAAAATGCACAGAGGGTGGTCTTCCAATCCCCTGAGCCAGAGGCTCATGATAAAAGTGTTTGACAATATAAAAGAAAGCTAAAATTGTAATAGCACCGATTAAATTTGAAATAATAGTTAAAAGTCTCCAGAAGGATGATGCATTAGATGCATTTTTTACAGCAGATGATAACTGGTTCCAAATACGTGAGATAATATACGCGTATGAAACATGAAGGAATCTGCTATTATATGAAGTTTTTACTACGTTTAGACCACTACTTCTAAGATTATATGGTGTAACGCGGGGTTTAAATAAATCGGCTATATAGTCTGGACCATTCTCCCTAAAACATTTAAAAAATATTATCAGATTGTTCAATACGTCTAAGTTCCAAAGTATTCATGTTTACCATCTTAAGGGTTGATTCATAATCAGTACTCCCAAATTTCTTATAGTTTACATAGATAAGTTAGTGAATTTCCCGAATCCTCTTAAATGAATTCATTTTTATAAACCCTTTTTCAATCACAAATTACAAGTGAAAGAGACAACGTTGCCGTTGTGAAAAGCTAAAGGTTTTTCTTTTCTGGCGGAACAAACGTAGACTCCACACCAGTCTTAATTTGTCATAGGCGTCGCCTAATAA